AATGGATGATGGGACTTGCAGTACCACCACTCACATTCTGAGACCGCTCTCAACCTTATCCAATGACTGATCAGGACCAAACTTCGCACAGAGACCTCTCATGACCCACTTTACGTCCTGGTGTGGTTTGGCCGGGGATGGACCGTGGATTATGGGACTTGCAGTACCATTTCTCAATTCTTCATACCACTGCAACCCTCATCCAATTACCGATCAAGACCAAACTTGGCACACAGAGTTCCCATGACCCACTCTACATCCTGGTGCACTTTCGAGGAGGACAGACCATGGATGATGGGACTTCAAGTACCTCCACTTCCTTCCCAAGACTGCTGCAACCCTCATCTAATGTCTGATCAAGACCAAACTTGGCACACAGAGCCCCCATGACCCACTCTGCATCCTGCTGCAGTTTGAAGGAGGATCGACCTTGGATGATGGGACTTGCAGTACCATCACTCACATTCTGAGACCGCTGTTAAACTCATCCAATGTCTGATCAGGACCAAACTTGGCACATAGACCTCTCATGACCCACTTTACATCCTGGTGTGTGTTTGTCTGGGGATAGACCATGGATTATGGGACTTGCAGTACTTTTGCGCAATTCCTGAGACCACAGCAACGCTCATCCAATTACCGATAAAGACCAAACTTGGCACACTGAGTCTCCATGACGCACTCTACATCCAGGTGCAGTTTGAAGGAGGATGCACCATGGACGATGGGACTTGCAATACCTGCACTCCCTTCCTAAGACCATTACAACTGCCAACAATGATGGATCAGGAACACAATTTACACAGAGACCCAGCATGACCCACTCTACATCCTGGTGGTTTGGAAGAATTTGACAATGGATGATGGGACTTGCAGTCACTTCACTCACTTCCTGAGACGACTGAGACCCTCGCCAATGACTAATCAAGACTAAACTTGGCACATGGAGCTCCAATGACCCACTCTACATCCTGGTGCAGTTTGGAGGAGGACAGACCATGGATGATGGGATTTCAAGTACCTCCATTCCCTTCCAAAGATTGCTGCAATCCTCTTCTAATGACCAATCAAGACCAAACTTGGCACATAAAGCCCCCATGATCCACTCTACATTCTGCTGCTCTTTGAAAGAGGATGGACTTTGGATGATGGGACTTGCAGTACCTTCACTCACTTACTGACACCACTGCCACCCTCATCTAATGACTGATACATACCAAACTTGGCACACAGAGCCCCCATGACCCACTCTATATCCTGCTGCTGTTTGTAGGAGGATGGGCATGGATGATGGGACTTCAAGTACCTTCACTCACTTCCTGAAAATAATGCAGCCGTTATCCAAAGACCAACAAAGACCAAACTTGCCATACAGAACCGCCATTACCCACTTTCTCTAATAACCCGGGCAACGCCGGGTCCCCAAGCTAGTAATTTAATAAAATATGAAATAGAAATGTAAGAAAGTGTAAAATTAAATATACCGAGAAGACAGGAAAGCTTAGAGAAGACAATTATGCTGGGGGAAATGGCAGGAAAAAGGAAGAGGGGCAAGATGGATGGATGGCATCCTTGAAGTGACCGGCTTGACCTTGATGGAGCTGTGGGTGGTGACGGTCGACAGCAGCTCTGGCGTGGGCTGGCTCATGAGGTCACGAAGAGTCGGAAGCGACTGAACGAATGAACAACAACATAAAATTAAACGCATAAAGCCTAGCTTTGGAGGCTTAGCGTGTGCAAACAACCCCCTCAAAAGAATGAAATGACATGTCAAATAAAAATATATATAATCTATATCTATATCGCGGGTATGTGGAGGAAGTGTATGTGGCAGCTTTCTGATTGGCTGCCACTGTGGTACTATCTGCATAAGGTCTCTGATTGGCCAGCCACAACACTCAAAGACTCCCAAGTGGCTGAGAGGGGAAAGGAAATTTGCATATGGTTTCTGATTGGCTAGCCTCAATAGGAGCCCTTGGTGGTGAAGAAGGTCAATGAGAGAAGCGGGGACATGAGAGAAGGAAATTTGCATATGGTTTCTGATTGGCCAACTTCAACAGGAGCTTTCTGATTGGCTGCCCCTGTGGTGCTATTTCCATATGGTTTTTGATTGGCCAGCCTCAATTCCAAGATTCCGAAATGACAAAGAGAGGAAAGGAAAAGGCCAGAGGCAGTGTCAGAAAATTACCAATACAGACCAAACTCGGCACACAAGACCCACTCTACATCCTATTGCAGTTTGGAGGAGGATAGACCATGGATGATGGGACTTGCAGTACCATCACTCACTTTCTGAGACCACTGTTAACCTAATCCAATGACCGATCAAGACCAAACTTAGCACACTGAGCTCCCATGACCCTCTCTACATCCAACTGCGGTTTGGAGGAGGATGGACCATGGACGATGGGACTCGCAGTACCTTCACTAACTCCCTGAGAGCACTGTGAGCCACATAAATAACTGATAAAGACCAACCTTGACACACAATGCCTTTCTCAAATAACTCGGCCAGCGCTGGGTCCCCAAGCTAGTGTAGAATAAAATAGAATATGAAATTGAAATGTAAGAAAATATAAAATTAAACTCATAATAAAATAAAATAATGTAAAATATAAATTAATATGGTCTCTTCCAACTCTGTAAGCCTGTGATTCTATACCAACAATACCAACACAGTGGTAACTGAGGAAGAAAGCGGAAGTCATTTCAGAACCACCGGCAATAATCTGAGAGTTCTTGGAGAACAGGTCCCTATCTTCAAGAGGGGAAAAAAGAACAACCCAAACAATTTAGTTATTTATTTACTTACGACATTTATATCCCGGCCTTCTCACCCCAAAGGGGACTCAGAGCGGCTTACAAGTTATATGTACATACAATATAGTATATTAGTATAGCACAATATTAGTATTATATATTACCATATTGTATTATACCACTATATTGTACTACTAATATTGTACTACTAATATTGCATGTAATATCAAATATATGATTATATTGCATTATTATTACTATTATATTGTATAACAATATTATGATCAATATTATATGTTCATACAGCTACG